GGAGAGAGAGAGAGAGAGAGAGAGAGAGAGAGAGAGAGAGAGAGAGAGAGAGAGAGAGAGAGAGAGAGAGAGAGAGAGAGATTGGATGAGATACGCATCGCCACGGAGAGAGGATGACCTGCAAGTAATCCACACAAGGCTCAAATGGTCCAAACAAACTATTATTGAATAATCAGTTAGCCACCAAAAAAGAACGGCGTTCGGACCCCAGCAGCCCCCTACTAGGGACCCGAACGGAGAGCGAAAAGAAAACCAACCACAGAGTCATCTGCAGATCTGACGCGCCTCGGGATTAATCAACCACGGGAAAGCTGATGGGTGGCTGAGATTCATTATTACCACCAGGGAGTGTACGGCGGCGAGAAGAGACGTATTGACTAACCGCAGAGCGCGAACCTCCGTCGCGAAGAAACCAGCGTTCCCACTGTGACAGTAACATACAATACAAGCAAAGCACCCCAATCGCAGCGCAGAGGTTGTGAATACTCAACATTATTCGCGTTACCGACACAAGACGGCACAGCAAAACATCATCAAAGATTTGTTAATTTTGTATGAACCTTTGGAGATTTTTGTCAGAGGACACTATGTGTTACATACTTCAATGAGTATGGGCAGAACCAAAGATCAACCAATATAGGATGAGCATATATGCAGCGAAAGTCTGATAAACGGACTAACTCACATAGACTGACTCACACAGACTGACTCACATAGGTATCACTAAATAATGAAGTAGCTATTTATTATTATTTGTTATTATAATTCTGATCAATAATCATAAATATCATATATTGATTCTATAAAATATCTATTCATTGTAAGTCAACATACAAATATGAGAAATTGACATTTTGAATACGATTGACAGAGTTTATAATATTTTTATTATTTACAACTCTAGGAGCAATGATATTATCCAGTGCAAATGATTTAATAACCAAAGATGGACTTTCTTCTTTCTCTCTCTAGATATAATTGAGTCTAGAGAGTGGGTAAGTAAACAAGATAATACGCCGCCGGCCAAATCCAACCATCCCAGCTCTTATCTAGACTGAACCCTTAGCTAATGGGAATTGAAAATTGACGATGGCCCGGTGGGATTGAATTCATTGATTGCTCTAGCTTACTGAAACCTCACGGAGCATACGTTTTCTTTCCTTCTTTGCTCGATTATGTAATCAATCGCTTATCTTACTTTGCGCTCTACCCACTTTAAGAGTTTGAACTTCACAAGACTGACCATACAATACATACGTAAAAGAAAGCCTCAGCATCGATCAATCCAGCAAATTAGAATTGAAAGTAAACGCAAAGTGAGTGGCTTGCCGCTTTCTTTCTTTTTTTCTTTCTTTCCGTCTCATTAATGAAACAAGTGAGATGCGTTGCGTAAAGTCTCTGAGGATCCCAAACAGCTCGGCGGTCGCTGGCTAGGGCGAACGGCCGTACTTTTTTGTGGTTTCCTGCTGATCGAACATAATCATGAGATGGTGGGGTCTGGGCCAAGCATAGACGATGCCCAGATCCCGTACACACATACAGAGATGAAAGGTGGGAGGAGAGATGAAGGAGGTGGGGGAGGTAGACAGCACCGATAGGTCACCAAAATAGAATCCGATAGGTCACCGATATGGTTGTCCAAAATGTCATCCAACAAGATCAAAATGTCGAGGACAATCAGTCACCAATGTCGGAGGTACAAACTCCAAATGTAACCGGTGTCCGAACTGTGATGCCGCCAAGTATCAACCCCAACAATCTCCAAGTCTCCAATCCGGTAAGTACCACAGTCTCATACCACCGAAGTCCAACCCTGATCTCTGTCCAACTAGTATAAGTTTCCAATCTGAAGAAGAAGAAGAAGAAGAAGAAGAAGATGGAATCTGAGGAGAAGAAGAAGAAGGGAGCCGAGGAGGGGAGAGAGAGAGAGGGGACTGGCGATGGGAGGGAGGAGAGAAGCCTCCAACTCCCGATACCTCAGGCAGCTATGGCCGCCGATACACTCAGTCGTCGCTGCTGCTGCTCCGCTCGCTGCTGCTGCGCTAATGCTGCGCTGCGCTGCTCCTCGCTCTTGAGCTAAACATAGCGCCAGCGCTGTTTCGCGCTGTACCATACCGTACCGGTAGAATGTCGGTAGGTCGATAGCCTCAATGAGGCTGGACCGGTACTTTTGTACCGGTGGGGCAGAGGCCCGCCTCAATGCTGCGAGGCCTGGCCGTGCCATGAACTGTCAAGATGGACGTTTCAGCCCCAACCGGTGGGCGGCAGCCTCAAGAGCGCCGCCAGCCCCAAACGATAATGTCGTTTGGGCCTGCCCGTCGGGTCTGGTCCAAGGTAAGGCTTTTACGGCCTGTAGTACCTCCAAGGTTGGGCCTTTAGGCCCTAATATGTCCCTCTAACCCTAAGTCGGGTCCGGTAGGACCCGTGTGGCGTTGAAGATGTAACACACTCCCCCTCTTAAAAGACCGAGCTACCTGCGAGGGCGAAGTTGTCTGTCCGATACCGGGGTGGGTCGGGCGGGACGAGTTGCTTCCTTAGCAAGGCGTCGCTTCTCATAGTCGGCGAAGATAAGGGGTGCAGAAGTCTGCAAATCTGTACTGGAGATCCATCGAGTGTCATCAGGCGCACATTGCTTGAATGTGACTTTGAACTGCATTGGCTTGTTGCCATACTTGCGGTGCGTGATGACTCGGTCAACTTCCTGATGTCCGTCCATAGAAGGCGGATCCTGTGATCGACGTCCGGGGAACTCGTCAGCTGAAGGTGGCGTGTAGATGGCCAGCTTCGACGCGTGGAAGACCCGATGCACTGTAAGGTGCGGTGGAATGTTCATCACGAAGGAAGGACCTGCGGGGTCGTCTCCAACGGCAGAAGTGACTTCCCATGGTCTGAACCATTTCGGAAGGAGTTTGCGCGAAACGTCCTGCTCAAGCGCAAATTCCTCGGAGAGGACCCAAACAAGGTCTCCCTCGCGGAAAGGACATGGAAGTCGACGTCGGTTAGCCTGCTGCTGCATGCGGATATGAGCCTTTTGCATATTCGCGCGGGCTTTGATCAGCAAGTCCAAGTACTTCCGAACGGAAGCGGGAGAGCAAGGGACGTCTATGTCGGCAGCCTGTGGCAAAAGGAGATCAGCGAAGATCCGTGCTTTCTCTCCACCATGATGTAACTCGAATGGTGTGACGCAGATCGGCGGGTGCACTGAAGTGTTATAGGCGAACTCGATGTCGGGAAGCCGGTCAACCCCATCTTTCTGGTCGGGACAGATGAGCGTACGCAATATCATCTGAGCGGTCTGGTGCGCTCGCTCCGTCTGGTCATCCATCTGCGGGTGCCGAGCCGAGCTCGGGTTCATTGTCGTACCGGACTCAGCCATGAGGGAAGTCCAAAAAGGCCGACATGAAGCGAGTATCTCGGTTGCTCACTATGTCTTCCAGAACACCCTGGCTGGTAATCCAACCGGTGTGCAAGAGTCGTGCGAGCTCAAGCGCTGCAGCATGATACTTGCAAGGAAGGAAGCGAGCAAACTTGCTCAAACGGTTAACGACCGTGAGAATATCGTCATGGCCGTGGCGATCGCGGGGAAACGGGCCTGTCACGTCCATAGCAATGGAGAGGCGTGGTGCCCGAGGACTCGGCAACGGTTTCAGTTCGCCGAAGGGGACTCGAGATCGACCCTTGTTACGGTGGCAAACTGCACATGACTCAATGTACCTCGTGACGTCATGAAGGACGTCGGGCCAGTGAAAACGCTGGCGGAGGCGTGCTAATGTGCGGTTCACGCCAAGGTGTGCCGAAAGTCGTGCGTCGTGGAATTCGCCCAAAAGACGAGTCCGTAAAATGCGATCTTGGGGCACAACTAGCAAGTCCTTTCCTCTCGTGTGAAGGAGAAGGAACCCGTCGGAAATCCGATAGTGGCTAGCCGGCGGGTGATCCGATGAAAGCTCCGCGTAAAGCGTCGAGTAAGTCGGATCGGACTTGTAGCCTTTGATGAAATGCGGCTGCAGATCGTCATCGAGGTCGAATGCCGTGGTCACAATGGCACAAAAGTCGGGCCTTCGTGCGAGGGCGTCCTCAGCTCGATTGGCGGGACCGGGAATGTGGCACGGGKCAAAATCGAATTGGTCGATGTAATACATCCATCGATCGATCGTGCTAGTGACCGTGTCTTGCGTTTTGTAAAATGTCAACGGATTGTTRTCCGTATTCCATTTAAAACGCCGACGACCGAGAAGAAAGTGGCGTCACCGTTTGAGAACGGTGACGAACGCGAGTAACTCTTTCTTCCTAGCGTCGTCGAGAGTGTTTACAGGGGGCACCTTTTGGGAGAAATACTCGACCGGATGCCAACCGTCCTCGTGACACTGTTCCAACACCGCACCAGTATCGTACCCCGAAGCGTCCGTAGTCACTTGGGTGGGAAGGGTGGGGTCATATATACGGAGGGCAGGCGCGGCTTGCATTGCTGCCTTCAACGTAGTGAACGCGCCACGGGCTGCGTCGTCGAACTCGAAGGGCACCTTCGGGGACTGAAGTCTCGACAAAGGAGCAGCCACTTTCGAGTATGACTCGACGAATCGCTGATAATATCCAGCCAAACCCATGAAAGAGCGTACGTCCGTCGTGCAACGGGGTTCCGGCCAATCCACGATGGCTTGGATCTTGTCCGCTAAGGGACGAATGCCTTTCGGCGTGACAAAATGACCCAAGTACTCAAGCTCTTGCTTGGCCATTTCGCACTTGTCGAGATTCRCTTTGTACTTGGCTAGTCGCAAACGATCCAGAACAACGCGAAGGTGTACGATGTGCTCGTCCAACGTTCTACTGTAAACCAAGATGTCATCAAGGTAGATGAGGACGCTGCGATCCAGCAAGTCGCGAAACTCAGTCGTCATCGCTGCTTGGAAAGTCGCGGGGGCATTGGTGAGGCCAAAGGGCATGACAACCCACTCAAAATGCCCGTATCACGTTCAAGTCTTGTACCGGTCTTGAGGCTGGATTTCAATCTGGTGGTAACCTGACTTCAAGTCCAACTTCGAGAAGTACGTCGCGCCGCCTAACCGCTCAAGAAGATCATCAATCCGAGGGAGAGGGCCGACGTTCTTTACGGTTTGTGCGTTAAGTTTCCGATAATCGATGCATAACCGTAGATCTTTGTACTTCTTCCGGAGGAAGAGAATAGGGGCACCGTATGGCGAGCAACTAGGGCGAATCCAGCCCTTGTCGAGAAGGTCATCGAGTTGTGCGCGAAGCACCTCGAGTTCCTCTTCACTCATGCGGTAGATACATCCACGCGGAGGGACGACGCCAACCTCGAGAGTGATCCCGTGACGTATGGGCCGATCCGGAACCGTTCCGGTGGGAGCCTCGAAGACGTCTCTATACTCGTCCAAGAGGTGAGAAATGCGTGGGTCCAGCGGTGACGCGGCTGGTCCGTCCGGCGAGGGGAGAGCATGCAAGAATACAAGGCCCATCTCCTCGACGTCATTCCGAGCAATTGCGTCACGAATTCTCGCAACGGAAACCACGTGACAAGTAATCAAAGTGTGAGGGGTCGCGACCGTACATGGGACTAACACTCCGTTCCGATCACGGATGTGAACGGTTCGGTCATGGAAGTTCATCGGATGATCGGCACTATGCAACCAAGACATGCCTAAAACCATGTCGAACTTGGTGTCGAGGATGTCAAAAGACACCGGCTCGCACGCAAGTGGCGCAAAGTATACCGGAACGCCGTCGACGCATCGGTCAATTGACTTTTGCGTGCGGCCGTCCGCGAGTGTGACTTGCGTGGGTTGCGTCTTCCTTCGAACGCGCGGGCCAAGGCCTGCGCGGGCCATAAAGGCTTGGCTCATAAAGTTGCGAGACGCTCCACAATCAATCAAGGCACTGCAGGTTGCCTTTCAGATTTGAATGCGGATATGGAGCAAAGGCACGTCGGTTTCGGCGTACCTTTGGGTGGCGTACTCGCGGTCAATCTTCGCAAGATAGGAGAGGAGATCGACAACCGTTACTCCGTCGTTCGTCAACGGAGCTGGTACTATAGTGTGCAAAGAGGAGCATATATTTGCCATCAAGGTGTTGCAATGCGACCTTGGCAAGGTTCCGGTCGAGGGTAGAGGCATCCAAGCGAAGTCCTCTCTCGTGAGCGGGTTAAGCTCCTCAAGTCTTGACCACGCCGTCGAGTCCTCGGAAGTCAGTGGCGAGCTGACCGGATCTCTTGCCGACGGTGTACAGGCTGCGCATACGCTAGTAAATGCACGTGGCTCGGCTGGTCTAATGGTGGTACCAGCTGGAGGGCATAATCCTCGTACGTAGCACGAGAATCAGCGACTAACGCATGCTCCCTGGTAGTAACATCGATTGCTAGCAAGGCAACCGGTTCCGGCGGAGTGAGGAGAGACGTCGCCCCTCTCCTTGCGTAACTCAGTTTCCCGAGGTTGTTGGACGGGGTACGCGTGTCTTGCCCTTTTCGGGGCATTGTGCGGTCAAATGCATGACGCCGTTGCACCAAAGGTAGTATCCGTACTTTTGACGAAGGTCATAGACATCCTTGGTTATCTTGTAAGCCGTCCATGGCTGCTGCCCAGTTCCCGTCGATGCTGTCTCTTGTGTCGCCTTGTTCTTCCGAACTCTCTTGGGATGCTTCGGCGGGAGCGCTGCTACAATTCCTCCATCACTCGAGGATGCTGCTGCAGCGTGGAGATCGTCTGTTTCTTCAGAAATCACGGCATTGTTATGTGCCGGACGTTGATAGCCCTGCTTAGCCACATAATGCAGTTGGGATTGTTTCTCGTTAGCGGCCTTGTCGTCTGTTTGCATGACCAGGTTTGCGCGATCCAGGATAGTCTGGAACGAGGTATAGTCGTACTCGTTACCGAGTGCCGACCGCAATCCTGCGCACGATTGCGAGAAGAACTCAGATCGTTGATTAGGAAAACTCAAATCGAAGCCTGGCATTCACCACCGACAAGGGCGCCTTCGGCGCTGGTGAATATGCAATCACAGGATCGGCCTCCCTCGATAATGATAATGAGAAGGTTGACAGAGCCGCCGTAGCAGGGGAACTGAAGGGCGGCAATCTTCTGCCGCTTGGTTGTCCAGTCTCGAGTTGGCATACTCCCTTGAGAGCAGGTGTACACCTCGTTCATGGCCGCCTTCACGACGTTGCGGACCATGAACCGGGTGAACCATAGCTTCTCGAACTCTTTCCACGTGAGGTGCGTGTGGAGTTCGGCGATGGTGCATTTGTGGGTAGTCGCCAGATGGTTCATCCATGCCTGCGCTCCTCCAATCAGTTGTAAGTATAGCGCCTTCATCATGTCGTCGGCCGGGACAGTGCGGCATGATGCTTCCGTGAGGAAACGTTGCCACCATGCCAAAGCGTCCGTCTTGTTGTTGTCGTCGAACTTGCTGATGTCGAAGTGCGGCATCTTGTAATTCTTCGTGGAGGCGTCCGGTTTCGTCTGCAGCTTGGTGATGTCCGTCTTGATGGCGGCCACCGTGCTACTGATCATGTCCGGCCCATTGAAAACACCTATATCGCCGATGAGATTGACGACATGATCAATGCGCCCATTGAGCTGCTTCGTCATGTCTGTCATATCTGTCGTGCAGCCTGGCGCTGCTTGGGGAGGCCTTGCCTCCAAGGTAACAATGCGTGCATCTAGCTGTTTCAGCTGGTTGTCTGCGACCTTGACAGCTGCTGCAAATATCTTCACGTTGTGGCTCAGATCGTGCTGCAGCTGCAGTGTGGACTGGGAATGCAGCTCTCCCATGGTGCTGTTCCAAATGACGGCGCGCATTGTATGGAGTAGAATATCTGCCAGGTCTTGCCTCTCCTGCTGTACTGTTGTCGGATCGCTGCCGGGTACCGGGACATAACGCTTCCCGTTGAGCACCGCTGTCCATTGTGCTTGGTTACCACTTACAAGTTCAGCGCTGTCGGCGTTGAGCTGATCGATCGCCAACTGGTCTGCCTCGGCTTGACGCTGGGTTTGTGCTGCAGCTTCCTCTGCTAGCCGTAGTCTTTCGGCTGCGGCAGCCTCTTGCTGTTCCTTGACCTGGGTGAGTGCGGCTGTATAGTCCTGCATTCTCTGAATGAAGTCCGGGAGGGGCTCATTCGACCCTTGCACCGGACAGACCGGTAAAGGTTCGGCATTACTAGCCGTCGAACCCTCGGATGATGATCCGCTGTGTGGCTTGTTCGCCATCTGAGTACTGGTCTGTGGCGGTTGTGGAACTGGAGGTTGCTGTTGCTGTTGCTGTTGGCGATCGGCGATCCGCTTGCTGCGTCGTGGCTGTTGTTCGGAGGCTGGCCCTGCTGGCATCAGGAACTGTTGCTGAAGGCTGGCTTGTTCGGAGGATCGCAGAACAGTGTGAGGGAGAGGGTGGGCACAGGGATAGAACAGATCAAGCAATAAACATACAGTCCCTGTCCCAACGATGGACTAAGACACCTAATCAAACAGAAAAAAATAAATTTTCCCGTAAACAATTCGAAAATCCGTAATAAGAAGAATAATAACGAATTATTTAATCAATAAGTTTAATTAATGATTAATACGAAAGAATAATTCTTAATGATAATCAATAAACAATCTTTGCAATAATGATTTCTTAACGATAATCAATTAAAACAATATTTGCAATAATGATAATGAGCGAATTTGAATTGTTATCAAGATCAGGTATCCATTGAGATCATCTTTGAGTCCGGGAGTTCACCGTTAATTAGTGAACTACCCGGAAGTTGCAATGCTGAGGTTCAGAGTCGGATTAGTTTGCCAAAAAATTTTCGGACAAAAATCAGGAGAAAAACACTCGAATTTCCAAAAAACGTGAAATTTCGGGAATTTCCACCGTCAAAATCCGATTTTTAAAGGCCTAAACCCGTTTTCGGAATTTCTCAAACAAGGGGAACGGAAAAAAAAATTCCGCGAAAATTCCGGTCCCAATCCTAATTTTCCGCGTTTCGGCGGAATTTCCAGATTTCCGGTCCCAAAACGTTCGAATTCCCCAAGCTGATTGAAAACCAAAAAAAAAAATTCGTAACCCTAATTTCCAATACTGAAGGAAAACGGACATACCAAAAGAAAAACGAAATATAGGATTTACAACAGAATGCCGAAAACGGAATGCTGAATGGAAATCAGAATGCCGAATTTCAACAGGATACTGATTCAACCCTAATAAYGTTTTAAAATCAGAAATYCGAATCTACCAAATTATCGGATTAGTATCCACTAATCGGAATCTAAATAAACAGCATACCGGAAGAAAACAGAAATCCGAATTATAAGTCCGAATACCGAATTGAAACGGCAATGCCGAAATAAATAAAATACCGAAAAAGAAAAAAAAAATTGCAACTTTGAACTCGATAGTAATTCAGAGCTGATTTGGATGATTGAAACAACAATCTCCTTCCTAATCAGACTTACCTGGTGAGCAGATCCGTGAAATGGTCTGCTCCGATACCAAAACTRTTACATACTTCAATGAGTATGGGCAGAACCAAAGATCAACCAATATAGGATGAGCATATATGCAGCGGAAGTCTGATAAACGGACTGACTCACATAGACTGACTCACA